AATTGGCGTTTGCTTTCTTTGAAAAATAAAACAACTTCAAAAACAGGCAAAACAAATTTTTTTTCAAATGTCAATATTTTTTATTTTTTTCAATTTAAAATTTAGAATGTATGTTACACAGATGTGAGGAATGCCCAGGAAAACTGAGTGTCGAAAATAACTTAAGAGCGATTTTCGAAGAAGCTGTAATTTCCCATGATGATAATCGCAGTTCATTGATTTCCGTACAGGATACAGTTGACAGTTTCATTGAAAGATTTTCGCAAAAACTTGACGAGTTGTCATCGCATCATTACATAAGCAAAGAACAATTGAAATATCTTAGCGATTCTAAAAAAATTTAAAAAGTTCGGAGTGTATTGCTTTAATGGATTTTGCTGAAAATTATTCGGTGATAATACAGGATGCAATCCAGAGTCAACATTGGAGCAACACGCAAGTTACTCTTCACCCAATTGTTCTTTATTACAGAAAACTTATTTATTTATTTATGAAAACTTATCTGTCAAAAGCGTTTGCATGATTAGCGACTGTCTCGATCACAATGTTTCCGCTGTTTATGCTTTTCAAAAACATTTAATTAACTATGTAAAACAAAACCTGAAAAACGTTACTTTAATTAAATATTTTTCTGATGGTGCGGTAAGTCAATACAAAAATTTTTCTAATTTAATTCATCACAAAGATGATTTTGGATTCAAAGCAGAATGGCACTTTTTTGCAACTTTTCATGGTAAAAGTCCTTGCGATGGAATTGGAGGGACAACAAAAAGATTGGTTGCAAGAGCAAGTTTGCAGGCATCAACAAAAGATCAGATATTGAACGCCAGAGATTTTTACACATACGCTGATGCGAAAATAAATGGTATTAAATTTTTTTGGGTAGACAAAAAAGAAATTAAAGATCTGCTAGGAATGCTTGAAAAAGATTTAGGTCAGCAGATAAAATAAAGGGTTGTCGAAGTCATCACTCATTTATTCCAGACAAAAATGATCAACTTTTGATGAAACGTTTGTCTTCAGATTTATTTGGATACAATTTTAATAAAAATGAAAGTGAAGACACCAATGATGATTATGAGCCGGGTCGATTTGTAGCTTTGGTCTATAATAAGAAATGGTATTTAGTAAACATTATAAAAAGAGATGATAAAAATGATGATTTAAAAGTTAACTGTCTGAAGAAATTTAAAGAAAATATTTTTTATTGGCCTAAAAATGTAGATATTTGCTATGTACCATTTAAACATATTTTGATTCTTATACCTGATGATAACATTTCTTATGTTGGAAAAATTCACATAACTCTTCCTGAAACTGTTTTTAAACACATTAGCACGTTGTATAATAATTTTGAATTGAAAAAAATAAAAAAAAATTGACACTTGAAAAAAATTTGTTTTGCCTGTTTTTGAAGTTGTTTTATTTTTCAAAGAAAGCAAACGCCAATTTTATTTTTTGATATGTTGTTAAGCTATAAAAGCACTATATAATCAAATTTTAAAAATTAAAAAACGTTTGGTTCTTCATAGTTAAAAATGGCGCCAAACAAAAGAAGTTTTTCATTTTTTTGACATTTTGAGCTCCGATAGCTCAAAAAATTCAATACAGATTTTAACGAAATTTTGTGATTTATTTGTGACTATAAGGTACTTCTAAAATAACAAAAAATATTTATTTATTTTGCGATAGATTTTGAGCTACGCTGTTTTGAAATCGGTGAAATTTTCAAAAAATTCATTTTTTCTAGATTTTTTGTTCAAAATATCCTTTGATTCGAGACAATAACATTTATTTTTTTTGTTATTACATTGTTTCACTGATATGCACAAAAAATTTCATCAAGATATGTTGGCTAGTTCAAGAGATATAGCGTTCTACGTAGGTACAAGTTTTGAAAAAAATCGCTCAAAAATTTGAGGATGCTGTCACAAAAATCTTCATAACTTGAAAAATAATTGAAATTTTTTTATAAAAATTTTATTTTGTCGATGAAATACATTGAGGTACTTACTGTTCAAATTTAAAAAAAATCGGAGATGGTCGGGCGTGGACTTTTTTTTTAAATCGTTCAAGTTGACGGAGAATGACCCTAATATATAATGTAAAGTAATATGATATGATATGTAATGTAGTAATGTAATATGTAATGTGATATGTAATGTAATGTAATATGATATGTCATGTAAAGTAATTACATATAATGTAATTTTACGAGGATCCTAAAACTTCGTCAAAAATTCATCAAGATTAGTGACAGAAGAATACTTTATTGATGATACAGCAAAGATCAGAGATTTGAATGCATCTCAAAAAATTGCAAGCAAAAAAGTACACGCATGTCCAAATGATTGGAATGAATTTGCTCAGACAGACAGACGGCACATTTTAAATTATGAAATTTAAAATAAAATTACATCATTTCCTCCTCTTCACCATCACCGTCATCATCATCTCGAGTACCATCATCTTTCTCGTCACACTGCATTCCGTGTATTTGCTTCAACCGATCCAAGAGGAAGTGTGTTAAACATTTGAGGTTCTCTCTAACGCCTGCATCGTTTTTATTCGAAGCTGGAAATAATTTACGTAAAATCATAATTTAAATAATAATCATAATAATTTTATAATAGAATGATGAAATTATTATCACCATTCTCATCATACATCATCATCATCAGATGTTTTATAATCGTAATTTAATGATGAGAATGATAATTATTGATCAAATCTTAATTTATTATTATTATTAAAATAATCATCATTGAGGGAATGCTTGCCAGCGAGTTTACGATATGCACGTTCACTAAGAATCATCATCACGATCATAACTATCACTGTTGTCAACATTATCATCGTTATGACCACCACCATCATCATGGCCGTGTGGTCATCTTTCTCGTTATCACATCATCACCAACTTCGATGACGTATCAAATTTCTAATTACCATATTACAAGCAAAAAAATTCACCAAACTATACTTTTTGAAATTTAAAAAAAAACGAAAAAAAAAACTTGATTTCATACTCAAATGTAGGCTCTCTAATATGACAACGTGTCCGACGAGCGCATCCCTACTTTGTGACGTCACTCTCATCACGTGATCTCTATAAAGTCTGAACAGTAAACGATGACACCGTAAAGTATTACAATAATTATATTACAAGATATTACGATAATTATAATTAATGAGATGAATCAGATCAAATTTATTTTTTAATCAATCCAAAAATGGAATGATCCAGAGACCCAAAGGGAAGCTTTCAACACGTGAGATGGACAATGCGGACAAACTTGGACAAAATGTGGACTAACAACCACCACCACCATCATCACCACCACCACCACTACCACCACCACCATCGTCAATGATCATTATCGCCAAACATCGTCATCTTATCAGCATAGTATTATATTTATAAACATTTATATAGCGCTTTATAAAAAAAAATGTTCTCAACTGCTACTTCAAAAATTATTGTATTAATACATTACTCACCATCTTTCATTAATAATAATAATTAATAGTATTTATTTATTATTATTATAATTATTATAATTGCTGTCATGGCTACGCGATAAACTAACTTGTTATCAAACTTCTTATGGTTAATAACGCCCGTAACGAATTGCAGGAACCACGGTAATCTTGATGATAACGTGACGTCATTATTATTATTATTATTATTATTACCACCATTATTATTATTATTATTATCACCACCATCATCATCATTTTTCGAGGTATCATTAAAGTAAGCACTGACGATGTCATCATCATCTGCGAATCTCTTCATCAGCCTTTCCTTCACCATAATTATTTCATGGTTATTATATCATCACACACAAACACACACACACACACACACACACACACACACGCATTAGTACAATCAATACCATCACCACAACTGATATGATGGTTTATGGTGATTGTAACAGTAATATGAAGATGATATAGTATCATGATAGTATAATTAAGAATCACCATCATCATCAACATCATCGTCATCGTACTGAACTAACATTTTGAATGACAGATGAATGTGATGATCTGATGATGTGATCTACCAATGCTATGCATCTTTTCCTACTCACGTGATGACCAAATGATAGGACCGCAGTCACTAATTTGCTCGTCTCTGATTGGCTAATGCTGTTGTACTGCAGTGTTGGACGTGGCCATCATAATCATAATCACCAAAATCGTCATCATCATCATCATCATTATAACACTAATACCATCACCGTCATCAATTATCATCTCCATCATTCTTAATTATACTATCATGATACTATATCATCTGCAATATCGTCTTCATATTACTGTTACAATCACCATAAACCATCATATTTGTAATTGTATCATAACCATCGCCTTCATAACAACAACAACAACAACAACAACAACAACAACAACAACAACAACAACAACAATAATAATAAACCACCTGATTGCGATTATTATTACTATCATCATCGGCAGCCATCTCAATTGGCGAACTCATGAGGCGCGTTACAAACTCCATCATAAATTCATTCACATCATCGTCAACACCGTCACCATTAGTATCGTTATCATCATCGTCATCATTATTATTGTTATTATTATTGTTGTTGTTATTGTTGTTGTTATTGTTGTTGTTATTGTTGTTGTTAAGGCGTTTGAGCATTGCAATGGTAATGAGTGAAACGTCCAATAGGAATGATGCGGGATTGCCTGATGATAACAGTGGTAGTGAGTAAGATGATGTAGAATGTGATTATACGTACGATGACGCTGATAACGGCGATGACGACATGAGAATGATGACGGCTGAAATGATGATGGTTAAAAATGATGACGACGATAATGTTGATGATAGCTATGATGATGATGATGATGATGACGATAATGATGATGATTGCAGATGATGGTGATGATAAGAAATGATGACAATAGAGATGATGCGCTGACTAACTGGATGCGAGGATGTCCTTGAAGAAGTTGATGACCTTTTGGAAGTGGCTGGCATTCATCATCCCTACTATGATCAGGTCTCTCAACGCTTCCAGGTAAGTCTGTAGAAGATTGTTTCTACCATCATCATCTTCATCATCATCATCATCTTCATCCTCATCATTACCTACATCATCATCATCGTCATCCTCATTACCTACATCATCGTCATCTTCATCATCATCATTACCTCGCCACAGACAAATGAAACCAACCTTAAGCACCATCCTACAAAGTTTCCTACTCCCCACACAGCCACCACCACTACAACCACCACCACCACCGTCGTCGTCATTCTTATCACCACCATCGGCACCCTCAACGATGGTATCCATGGTAACATCATCATTTCTGTTGACATTGCTACTGGTGATGTCGTGGAGCGATGTATCATGATTGAGATAGTTGTTGATAGTATCATTGTCGTTGCTGCTGCTAATGTTTGCTGTGTGGTTGTTACCAATTGCTGTGTGGTTGTTGCCAGTTGCTGTGTGGTTGCCGCCATGTGTTGTGTGGTTGCTGTTGTTTGCTGCATTTTTTCTACTAAAACTGGAAGCCACGGCGGTTGGCGATTGTAGCAGCGACGTCGTGTCGTCATGACTCAAGAGCCTCTTCCGCTTCTTACTTTTCACATTTTTCTGTTTTTTATGATTTTTTTTACAAGTTTATTTTTATCTCAAAAAAAAACAATCATTCAAAATAAAAAAGATTTTCAATTATTTCTATCTATTTCCAGTTAGACCTCTTCAGATTAAAATTTAAAATGAAAATTCAAAGTTAAATTGTTATACAAATGTACGAATTAATAGCATATACAACATACACAACATCACACGGACACATTACGTACAAATTAATAGCAACATACACAACATCACACGGACACATACGCTAAGTTTCTGATTTCTACCAGCAACATTTTTGCCGTTGTAGTTGCAGTCGTTCATGTTGCCAACAATCCACGAGGCTATGTTATCAAACGTTGCCAAGGTCAAGGTCAAGGTACCGACCTGCCGTGGAACATGGTAATTATGGTTAACACGGTAATTATGGTGAACATGGTAATTATGGTAAACACGGTAATTATGGTAAAAGGTTATGATTACACAACAGCAGAAGTGACAGCGGTGTAAGGATAGAATTAGAATTCGTATCTCAGAGCTGTGGAATAAAAATAAATAAATAAATAATAAAAATAAATGAAGCGTAAATCTGCTAACGCTTAACAAGGGTTCAATAACGAGGTAACATCTAAAAATATCCACCAATGAACGGTCAGAAATCGTCGGTTTTAATTGGGTCAACGATTTAGCAGTCAATCTACTGGCTATGCAAGTCTGCGAGAAGCAACATCGTTAAAATTGTCAATAAATATTCATGAATTACTGATTTTTTTCCACAACAAATTTGATGATTAATTTAAATAATTTAATGATTTTGTTAACGAAATGTCATAAATTTCAAAATTTTATACCAGAACGCTTTTTAAGTTTCTATGAAATGACGCCAATCTGTCCCTGAAAGTTTAAGAACAAAAAATTTGCCATCAACATACATCTGCCTAGTGACGAATAAGGTTAGTAACCTCATTAACATAATTTACGCTAATGAGATGTAATAACATAATCACGTAATGACACCTCATTAACATAATTTATGTTAATGAGGTGCAATAATGATTAGATTAACCTGTAGTTCATTAGCAACGTGCTCCTGAGAGCTTTAGAATGAAGAATTTGTCTCAAGAAAATCAGCCCCAATTTCGGCTTTCTGACGACAGCGCTGGAAAACTTAACGACCCTATTCGAGGTCTGCAATGGATAAAAAAAAATTAATTGGAAATAAAAATATTAAATAAATCGATTAAAATTATTTTAGTGAAGAATAAATGAGTAAGCCAAAATAAAAACACTCACCCTTTTACGAGTCTCCTTCTCCTTCAAATAAAACAACAACCAATCATCAATGAGATCCAGTAACTCCGCCCCCTTTCCCCACCTCATGGCGACTTCCAGATACACCTTATACAAATCTGATTGCTGATTTGTCGCAGCTCTTTCCGGTCGGTTTTTCTTTTTGGCTTTCCTCAATGCAGCCTGTATATAATTTTCTTTTCGTCCTCTCACATCATCATCATCTTCATCATCATCAGTAACTTCCTCTAACGATGATAATTTTGACATGATTCCACAGGAAAGGGCGGGAAAAACTTTGCCGCTGAATCGAGATGCCATCAAGAGTAAGGGTTCGACGATGACGTCATCCTTTATGAATATTAACGAGGTAGGTTGATGGTGATGATGATGGTGAATATCAAATGTTATAAAATACGATGTCACGATGATAAATAAGATGATAATCTGACATGTGATATATGATGATTGTATATCAGATATGATGGTATCAAATAGAATTGTATCAGCATGAACGTTCGGTTATCATAAACGACAACGGTGATGTGAACGTTGAGTTTAAACAACAGTAATGATGGTGAATATGATGAGACGATAATGAATGATGAAATGATGCATGGTGATGGCGAAGCCTACTCACCGTTACATGCTTCAGTATAATGGATATGTGCTCTGGAATGAATGTAACCAATCTGATGTTATCACCCTCATTTTCTGGCTGGTTTCGAAGTTTCAAATCGCCAAAATTTTCTCATCAGCATAAATAATTAAATATTCAATAATTGGGTCACTTTTAAAAGCACTTTCATCAAAAACGAAAAAAACTAATTAAGACAATTTGTATCTCTAAAGAGATACCAATATAAACCTTGCAGAGAGATGGTTTAATGCCAACGAATAGGATGTAGGCCATGTCACACATGCCTCTAGCGACATGTACGCTGTCCAATGAAGTGTCGTCATTTGATGAATGGGAGGAGTCTGCGTCATCAGTATTTGTGCGATCCTCGTCATTCATTGGTTCCTATAGAGTGTAAATTTAAAATAAATCTTGAATAATAAAATATATCTTGAATAATAATGAGAACAAATTAAAAATTACCCACGTGATGTGATGATGACAACGACGAATCTTTATCATCAAACTTTGATGTTATGTGTTTACTCAATGAGCAGACGATAAACATAATCAATTTGCCTGAGTAACAAATTACATTTTTTAAATGATTCCACAAAAACTAAATAAAATAGATGAATAAAATAAAATTAAACTACTTTAAAAGCTTACAGGAATGATTCAAGTCCAATAAGGAAGCAGCATATTTGAAGTACACCCTAGCCGCGACAGGATTGGCCAGCCACATTTGTTTACATCTTTTTAATTGGTCAGACAGGCCAATAGTGGGCGGAGTGTAAATGTCAATCAAAAGTTTCGCAATCTTCCTAGCGACCACGGGCCTGTCGGTGGACAGCCTGTAGAGGATGACTTTTAAAGGAACCACCTCCCAAAACTGTCGGTCGTTCGGGATCAGGAATGAAAGAAGGTGCAAACAAATAAATAAAAGAATAAAATCAAATGGGAAACTAATAAACAGATTTATATAAACAACAAATTCAACTAATAAACACATCGTAGTACTCACGAACTTCACTGAATAATTTAACAAAAATGAGAAATTTTAAAATGATTGATTATATTTTATAAAATCTTGAAATAAAAAAAATATGTTAGACAGGAAAAAAAAACGAAAAAAAAAGGTGACCTTCAACATTTTAACGTCCTTGACCTTGGCGAGTAGTTCTATGAATGCAATTCTGACCTTGTAATTGGTGTCGTGGAAGAGATTGTAAAGCTGTGGCAAGATGTGTTCCAGAGCCGGTAGGGCCAGTGCGTTGTCCACCAAGTTCATGAAGCCCTATGTTGTTATTATTAAAAGTAGTAGCAGTAGAAGTAGTAGTTGTAGTAGTAAAGACAGCAGCAGCAGCAGTAGTAGTATTAATAGCGACTGTAGTGTAGTAGTGGTGTTTATAACAACAATCATTAATCAGCCATATTAGTAGTAGTAGCATTAGTAGTAGTGTTCGAAGTAATAACACTAATATTACGAGTATACACACACACAAATATTAATATAATTAAAAACAAACAATTAAAATAGACACGTGAATAAAATCACCATGGCAACGCAAACTCTGACGTCAGAACAGCTGACATCTCGGGCCAGCCTAGCGATCAGCTGATCGATGAGACGCCTGGTGGTGTCCAGGGGCACGATCTCCCAGTAGGCGCCCAACAATTTGCAGACGCCCATAGCCACAACTTGTCGCACGACTATGTGGTCGTCTTCCATGCAGTCCTTGTGGTTGGGAGTGTTGTTGTTGTTGGAAGTGTTGTTGGGAGTGTTGTTGTTGTTGGATAGGTTGTTTGGTATTGTGCTGCATTGTTGTTGACGAAAGATCAATGTATAACAACAAAAACAAACAGCAGCAACGACAACAGCCAAATGGCAACAGCCAAAATCACCACCACAAACATCCCCCCACAGACATCATTCCCACAAACATCACCACCACCACAAACATCACCACCACCACAAACATCACCACCACCACAAACATCACCACCACACCAGCAGTAGCGACAATAGCCACACAGAAACAGAATACCATCAAGAGGTTGAGTTGCTGTTGTTGAAGCAGTTCATTGCCCTCCTTTCCACCCTTCACGTCAACCAATGGGAAGACATCGCACAGCACCGTGGCACTGTTAGCACGGATCGTACCATTTGGCACCTACGTCGTGATGATAGTTGTGATCGTTGTAACGATGATGATGATGATAGGATGATGAGAGTAGTGATCTGAACGATCAACAAGACTATCTAATCTCTTGGAAATTAATGAGATTAACTGATCATGAAATCAGGGCCGGGATTACTTAGCAGAGGTCTGTAATTATTTGTGAATACCCTTTATAAATTATTCACATAGGGCCCTGATTCGTTTAATCTGCAGTGAGGATATGTCAATAATTTCAATAATCTGCTTGTAAAAAAAAGTTGGCGATATTTTTCGCCTGACCATTTTACAAAAATTTTCAAATTTTTTTTTCATCCAAATTAATTTTTCTTGCGCAAAAATTATGTTAAAGTTACAGTATTGTTCCTGTGAAGCTCCCCGCGAAGTGATGGTGTAATGGCCTGGCATTGCTGTCACAGTAACTGGGTTTGAATGCAAAAACATCCCCGTGTTTGTTTATGCTAGTGAAAAAAAATATTTAGATTCAATGACCTTGAGGAGTTTGAACAGGAAGGGTGTGTAGAGATTGAAGAGCATTTCTTGGACTTCCAACAACTTTTTGTGGTTGTGAATGTGTGATATGATCTGTCGGTGGGTTGAGTTTATTTTCATCCTTTCCATCATCATCATCATTGCCGTCATCATCACCAATCATTGTTATAAACATCACCACACTATCATCATAATCCATCGTAAACATCATCACCCGCCATTGTAAGCATCATCAACTGTCATCATCATCATCATCATCATCATTAACGTGACTATTTTTGGTCATCTCCTTTTCTGTGAGTTAAGACATCATCAACATCTTCATCGTCATCATCGACATTGCGATTATCGCATGTTAATCATCTTACTCACAATCAACGACAATATCAGCACAACAACAGCAGCAGCAACAACAACAACAACAAAAACAACAACAACAACGATAACGCCGAATAGCGTCAGATGACCTTGTAAAGCTTCTGGAACTGGGACTGATCCCCGCCATCGCGAGGGCTGTGGATGGAGACGTGCATGAGATCCTGTATGGCTTCCTCTTCTAAACACTATTTTGGGAAAGATTAGGAAATCCATTTTTAACTAGGGAATGGGTTGTCGATTAAGGCTGATGATGTTGATGACTAAGAGAAGTCAATGAGTAATGTGGATCAAGTTAGAAGTAATGTTAAGAGCAATGATGATTAAGCAATGAAGCGCCATGCTAACGAATGGAATGTTACGTCAATTAGGAGTTAAGATGGTCGGCGGATTAGCTCAGTCGGTAGAGACGCCATATGTCTGGCTGTTATTACGCGATAGCCCGGTTCAAATACCGTCTGCCGATACTCTAAGACTTATCATAAACCACATGTGTATGATGCGGTACTTGCGAGTGCGTATACAATGTCTATACACGTTGTGTGTACGTTATGTTTGTCGTAACCTAATTAACATAATTTTAATTTTATGAATATTAATAGGATGTCACCTGTATTAGAATGGCTGATTTGGTCTGCCTCACCTTGGTCCAGGCATTCATATACACCTGGGCCAACCACGAACACCTCGCTCTCGAATGAAAAGTTTTTAGAAGATTTTTTTTGAGATTATGCGGTTTATTACTATTGCTATTATTATTATTATTATTTACGGTTTATTATTGTTGTAATTATTATTCTTGGTAATGTATTTTATATTGAGTATATTTATTATAGCCTCTTTAATAAATTCTCAAACGGTTACGTACAAACAAATATACGTGCATACATACACATTTATATACTCGCACACACATACATACAGACAGACATACATACATACATCCAATAGAATGTACAGGTACCCGATAGGAAGGATGGGATCTCTGAATTCGAACCAGGTCACTGCAGCAGCAGGACCAGGCGCCCTAACCATTACACCACCATGCCACGGGATAGTGTATGATAGGGAGAGTAAAAAGATGACAATGACAAATTTATTATTGGTCAATGCCGAAGAGCAATGTCATAAGCCGTCTTTCTATTCACTCATACACTGACCACCACACATTACATTTATTAATCCATCTATTGTTTCACTCATTTATTCATCCATCTATTGTTTCACTCATTTATTCATTCACTCATCGATCCATTCATCCGTCCATCTCTCGAGTCAACTCTCCATTCATTCATCCCTTTATTAATTTTTCATTCATTAATTCATCCTTTTATTCATCTCTCCATCCATTCCATTATTCATCTTTCCATTCATCCATTTATTCATTCACTTATTAATTCATCCATCCATTTTGTTAACAAACTTATTAGCATCAGGAATCAACATTTTGAATGCCCTTTCATGAATTGTCCTGGTGATGGATGGATGGATACAGAAGAGGAATGAAAGAAATTTTCTTCCCTTTAAACATGGCAAAATGCACGTATGTATGTATGTATGTGCGCATGCGTGTGAATGTATGTATGTATGTATGTATGTATATATGTATGTGTGTATGGATGCATGTACATAAGTCAGTATATTTGTGTGTATGCATGTATATTTGTATGTAAATAAATAGGTATGTATATTTTTGTGTATGTGTGTGTATATAAACGTGTGTATGTGTGCGTGTATGTCTGTTTGTGTATATACTATTGTGGAAAAATGATTAGTGATTGAAAAGATGGTAAGTTGCCTAACATCTTCATGCTTCAGAAAATTTTCAGAAGAACAAGCGTCCACCAGTAAATTTACAAAAGGTTGGTTGGATGATTTCTCATCACCACCACCACAACCAAAGCGACCACCACCACATCGACCACCACCACATCGACCACCACCACCACAGCGACTACCACCACTACCACAGCGACAACCACCACCACCATCGTCGTCCTCAACTTCATCCTCATAAACATTGATACCATCCGATTCCCAGTCTACATCGAGTAGGCATTTTTTGATAACATTCAATCTCTTCAGCGTAGAGATCTAATTGATGATTTTTATAAATAAATAAATTTCAATTATTCATTATATCTAATTAATTAATTGATTGATTAATTAAATGATCTAATTTATTCATCAAGTAATTAGATGTATCAATTAATTTATTCAACCGCTATTAAAATTTCAGGTTTTTGTTGTCACATCATGACAGGCTTACAGCAGAAACGTATCTTGAGGTAACTTTTAAAATCAATCAATCAAACTTCATTTAAAACAATAAATATATAAAGATTAATAATAAAATTAAACATTAAAAAAATTAATTTCATTTATTGAATTATTAAAGAAATTTAATAACCAAAAACCGAAGAAAGATACTTTTAAATTAGGAAGAAGACACTTTTTGATGAGATACTGCAGGACGTTCAGCATCCAATCATCGATCTCGCTTCTCAGCCACGACTCCTGCCTCCATGATAATTCGCAGACCAAGGATATTAAATTCTTTAAATTATCTTCCTCCTCCGGTAGTGGCAGAAGTATTCCTAAGTAGCGATGGTGATTGACAGATTCCAATTTATGAATTAATATACTTAATTTGCTTTCTACATTCGAAGAATTTATTATTTTTTAATAGTTTTTGTTTTATAGCACAATTACTATTTGAAACTTAAAGCAATTTTTTTCTAAAAATTTACTGAAATTAGCTAACCATTTAGTAGGGTGATACAGTCAAAGATAACCTGCTGCTGTCTGTTATATGTCACTTGAAGGCACTTGTACAGAAATGTTGAAATCTTCTCAAGACCAATGCATATGTCATGTATCTATTCAATCAATCAAGTATTATCACAAACCACACACACACACACACACACACACACACACGAATACAACAACAACAACACACGTTTAGACGACATTTTCCCCGAGATCGGGGTTGCCGTTTGGCTACCTATGATGAAACCGAAATACCCCTCGATGCCATTCCATCATAAGTAATTTATTTGGCTAATTTTTACGCAACCACAATTATAAGCGGTGGGCCTAGCCTTTGATGATCCAACATCACTCACAAGGCAGTGAGGGTCAGTTTAATGTCATAACCAGGACACACACACAAATAACTAAATACTATTAATCATTTTAACAATTATTAAAAATTCTTAAAAATATCAACCAAATGTTAACCATTAGATAGACCATCTCATCATCAAGCAATAATATTTTATTATAAAAAAGTAATTACCTCCCCATCAGTCTTTTCCTCTGTGATCTCAGCTAGGAGGTAAGTGCAATTGTCGAAGATCTCCCGCCATTCTAATAACTCCTCCTTCTCTCCCAACGACTTCAATCTGTCCAATACATCTCCACCATCATCATTTTCTTTGTTAGAGTTTGAGGTAGAGTCCTGAGCAAAAAGGATAGATTTATATATTTTGTTTTGTTTGAGATAAGATAAGTAAATCTAATTCATATTCTGCTAATAGCTAATTTATTAGATTAAAATCTACTATAATAATCATTTACACATTTTTTTTCATAAATAATTTAATCTATTATAAAGATTTTTATGTAATGAGAAATGTAATGTAATGTAATCAGCATTGTAATGTAATTGAACAAAATTACCTCTAAAATTAAATCCACAATCCTCTTCATCAGTCTCACTTTATTTTATAAAGACTATTTTTTCTAATTAATGTATTATCCAAATTTTTTTTATCTTTTTTCAGTAAAGATTATTAAGATTATTTTTTGAAAATAAAAATACTAAAAAACGAAAAATAGTAAATATTTTATTTATATAGAATTAAAAATTATTTTTATATTTATTTACTTTTAAATTTTATTTTAATTAATTAAAAATTAAATTAAATTTTAATACTTATTTATTTAATAATTACTTATTTGCTATAAGTACAATAAATACCAAAAAAAAAAACAAAATTTTAATAAGACCTGATTATCGAATAATAATTTGCATACAGATCACTTTTTTTTACTAACTAAATCAATATTTCAATCGACAGTCCGGAGGGCTATTTCAAATTTGGAGCTAATTTATTTTTATTTGAAATTAGTTCGATGTTCATGATTTGACTACCACATATTAGTTCAGTGAGAACCATATATATATATATATAAAAAATCAGATTAATTTATACAGGAGGGGCCATTATTTAGTAGCGCGACATTTATTTTTGGACTTATCATGTTGATATTTGGTTTATTTTCACAGTTTTTGACATAAAACGGTGCTTTTTCTGTGTTTTACTAACTTGAAAACTTTTAACGGGGGAGCCACCCTCCAGCCACCCATAGATCCGCTGCTGGGTGAGGATCTTTTTGTCACTGCGATACCCCT